TGTTTGTTCAGTTGGAGTCAGTTGATATTGTTCCCGCCGCACGATGGGACCTGTCCGGCCGCCAGCTCCCCGCGGCCCCGGCTGCGCGCCCGCGCTCTTCCGCGGGGGCGGCTGCTGCTCCGCCCGCGCCAGAGACACGGCGGCCCCGCAGCACCCCCGGGCCCGGCTCCGCATCCCGCGGGGAACGGGAGGGCAGCGCCCGCGCCGCGCCCTCGGGCCGCCGGGAGCCGGGCAGCGCCCGCGGGGACTTTTTACCGAGGAAAAGCTCCCGTTGGGCGCACGGCTAGCAGGGCTGGCGCTCGGGCACGGCGGAAGTTTAAGCCTTTTTTTCCTTTTATGTTTTTCCCTTTTTAAATATTTTTTTTTATAACTAATTTTGATGTAACAATATCGGGGCGCAGGGCCGCGGCAGCGCGCCGGGGGCAGCGCAGGACCGAGAGCCAGTTCGGGTAAAACAGCCCTGCACCCACAGGGAGTTCCGTGACCCCGAGCCGGACACACCAGGCGGCCGCGCAGCCTGGCCGAGAGCCGCGCAGGGGCGCGGGAGGTGCGCGGCCGGCGGGCCGAGGGGACCCAGGGCCACCGGGCACGGCCAGAGGCAGGGACAGGGACAGGGACAGGAACAAGGACAGGGACAGGGACAAGGACAGGGACAGGGGCAGGCACAACCTCCCCGAGCCCGCGGAGCCGCTGCCCGCCCTGCGGTGCCTGCGCGGGGCGCGGAGCAGCTCGGCCCCCCGGCCATCCCCACGCCCCGCGGGGCGGCCGGAGCGCACGGCGCGCCCTGCAGCGGGCCCGGGATGCTCAGGAATGCGAATGCAAGCTCCGAAACGAGCCCGGCGCGGCTGAATCCGTCCCGAAAGGCCGGCGGGCGGGCGGCGCGGGGCTCCCGGCCCTTCCCGCACCCCCTGCCCGTGCCGGGGCCCGGGCTGGCCGCTCCGCTGCTGGGCCGCGTTCGGCCCCTGCCCCGGGCCAAGGATGCGCGACCCCCCGCGCAAGGGCCGGGCTGGGCCCCGCGGCGCTGCGCCCCCGCGGCAGGCAGCGCCTGCCCGGGAATGAACGGCCTGAAGCGGCGGCCGCGGGGCCTGAAAACACGCGAAAATACCAATTTACCCGAAAACACCGAATTCTCCCTCCTGCAGCACGGGAGTTTGTAGAGGTTTGCTTCGGTTATGCCGGGCATAAATTACGCCCGGTGTAACCCAGCTCGTTGGTAATGAAGGCGCCTTCCAACAATAAAATTGAAATACGGACCTTGGCGAGCTGCGGGGACCCGGCCGAGCCCCCCGAGAGCGGGGCCGGGGCCGCCGCTCCCCGCTCCCACCGCAACTTCCCGCTGGGAAAGTTTGTGCGGTGGGAAGCGCGGAGCTGGGCGGCTCGGGGCCGGCCCGCGGCCGAGGAAACAGCGAAATTACCAAAATCACGCTCTCCAACTTGGCTGATTTAAACCGTGAAATGATATATAAATAAGAAATAATAATAGGGGGGGAGAGGAAAAAAAAAAAAAAGTGAAATGATTGAGATAATAGTCCCGAGGGGATTGTCCCGAGGGGGGAAAAAAATAAAATGATAAAGTTTCGGGGGATACTCTCGGGGCGGCAGGGGATCAGTGTTCAGGCCGAGCCCGGCCGCCGTGCGGGGCAGGAGGGCGCGCTGCGGGGGCTGCCCGGCCGGGGGGCGCGGAGCGGGGCCGGGCCGGGGGACAGCTGCGCTGCGGCCATCTGAGCGGCTCCGCCGTGACATCTGGGAGCCCGCTGGTGTGTGGCACGCGCATCGCTTGATGTCGCTATTTAAATGCAAATTTGCGGGGGGATCACTGAAGCCTCACCCCGTAAATTCACACAAAAGGGAGACTTGGCGCCGGAGGAGGAGGAGGAGGAGGAGGTGGAAAAGGAGGAGGGCCGCGGAGCCGGGAGGGCTCGGGCCGCCCCCCGCAGCCGCGCACACCCCCGGCCCGCCCGGCGCCGGCCGCCCCGCGCAAGGTGCGCTGCGAGCGGGGCCGCGCTCCCGCAGCCCGCGGAGGGCCCGGGGCCGGGGGGGACCGGCCCCGCCACCCCGTAAATTCACACAAAAGGGAGACTTGGCGCCGGAGGAGGAGGAGGAGGAGGAGGTGGAAAAGGAGGAGGGCCGCGGAGCCGGGAGGGCTCGGGCCGCCCCCCGCAGCCGCGCACACCCCCGGCCCGCCCGGCGCCGGCCGCCCCGCGCCTCCCGGGCCGGGAGCTGCCGGGAGCGGGATGCCGGCCTGGGAGCGGTGCGGGGCAGCAGCAGCAGCAGCCCGGGCGGGCTCCCGGCAGCTCCAGCCAGGCAGAGTGACAAAAAAAAAAAAAAAAAAAAAAAAAAAAAAAAAAAAAAAAAAAAAAAAGATAAAAGAAAAAAAAAAGATAAAGTTGGTGAATGATAAAGACCGTATTTTCCACGCTTTGGGTGCAGGACCAGATGATCTAGAAAATGAGCTGAAATAGATTCAGGCTCAGAGCCTGTTGTGAGGAGCAGCTGATTCCCCCATTCCTGGCCAGATGGCTTCTGAACACAGATTTGCATTCATTTTCGCTTAATATCGTCCAAAATAGTGGGGCAGCTGCATTTGTTGTCAAAAAGGTTTAAAACTCCCTTTCTTTCTGGGGCAGGATCGTTACCTTATGTGATGGGCTTATGGAACTTTTTTTTTT